TCTGTGCACAGAAACAGAGAATCACTTTAGAGCAATTTCCCTCCGTTGCGGCTCATCAGTGTTGAAGTTATCAATTTTCGTCATCTTATGGTCAGCAACTGGACGCTGTACAACTTGACCAGGAGTGGCCAGGCACCAGTAGGATTGGCCTCCACTCAAATCGGATCCGTGGGATGCGCCCGCTGATGATTTACAACAATCAGATGTCCACTGCTCACCTATTCTCCAGCATATATTTTGTTTACGGGACTAGAGCCATGGTAAACATTTCTGGGTGTTCTCAACATCCACAAAATAACGATGACCAGTCACGTGACCACGTGTATGAACACCAGCCTAGCCACGCAGAAATACTGACAAACATACCGCTGTCGAATACTTACCAGAAACTCACAGGGGATTGGGTACCCGAATTTCAGTAGGTCAGTCTCCAGCCTTCCAAACTAACCATCAAATTTGACGCGATCTTAAAAAACTGCGGATACGTCCGGTTTTGTTGCTTAGACTAATGTTGCAACGATTTTCATTGGGCTGTGACGTCTGTATACAAGACATATTGAGCCTTGAAACGGACACTTTTTGAACCCATGAATGGAAGTGAATTCCCGCTTGGACTAAATCACGTCGTATGATATTACATGTACCAAAGTCCACCGATGTTTAGCCATTTAGGTGCAAAACCGCACGGACTTCCGTTAATTTAGTTCATCTGAGTGTTACGCTAGAAACCTCTACAGTTCTTTGCGGTAAAAAATGATAAAAACCGGCACTGAACAGTCAGAAAGGAATCTCAGAGGAATCGCGATGCTAGAAGAAGATATCGCAAGTCAGCTTGTCACACATTCCTCAGGCTACTCTGTTGTTGAATCTCCGAGTCTCTATCGTCAAAGCAAATTCTGCAGACATAGTGGTGTAGCTAACTGAAAGAAAAAATGGATAAGAAGCTGGAAGTCCGCTTCTTGTGACAGCATTTTACCAAATTTTGCACTAAAGCTTCGCGAATTTCCTACCAGTCGTTCCGACTCGACAACGAGCAAAGTACAGCAGTAAGCCCTGTAGGGTGGACAAAAACCTTGTACACTACCAAGGGTTGAATAACTACGGAGCGGATCTTACCACCGGAGCACATGTTTTCAGTAGCGTCACCCATCTCAAATAGAGATCGATGAATATGTTTCATCCGTATGAATGGACATCCATCAGACAGTCCTGTCCACTCAATATGAAATAGGTCCAACATCTGAGACCACTTAACAAAAATTACCAGTTCGTTTTACTACCACTGAATAGGGGACCTGGTGCATCATACAAGGCCGAACAGGTTAGGTTAACAAGAGGATGCGAGTATTATGAGACACTGACAAGCTTTCGGTTGATAAAGTGGAAACTTACACTGTACCAATTCCGAACGACCATGTTAGGGAACCACATTTGGGTGTTTTCATATATCTGTCACCAGCACGTCCCGATACACATGAGTGAGCTTAAAAATGAATGAATCCTCTGCACTCCTGACTCTGTTATCCCAGTGGCTTGAATTCCTTAAGACAGACGGGTCCAACAGCTTTTGACAAAACCGCACTGGTAAGATTCAAATTGGCTGTGTCAGCTGAACTCTTCATTTCGTGGATTCACCACAAAACATCGTCTTCATGGACAAGGTGGTAGGTTTTAGCCTCTATCCAATAATCATCTTTGTTAATTACTTAATAGAAGGTGTTTATGATTCTTCTGATGAAAGTGATCTGTACTCTAAAATGATCTGCCTAACTTTTGCATATGTATACAAGCAGTCTGAACTTTTGTCCCACATTGCATATGGTAAAGACCACGTCTCATTTAGATGTCCATTGGATACGGTGCTCTTGGACATATTTATGGTCCATTGGAAGCATAAACCGCAAGAACGTCGGGGAAAATTTTGAGCACTTGCGTGTGTTATCTTCTCTGACCACAAGCGAATAGAAGGATTTTATCAACACTGCTCAGTTTACGGTGTAGGTGAAATAAAATGATAGGATAAGTTTCTTTGATAAGTTGCTTCTCAATATGTAGCACCATAGATTGCCTCCTCGAAGCGCCCTCAATAAACTACTCGGACGGCGTGATATTCGATTTTTGAAGATTTTCCATCCTGAAAACGAGAAAGGACCATAGTGCGCACCGTTTTCAACAGGCTTTAACATATCACCTGTACGAACTACAGTTGCCCAAAGACAGCCTGCCCGAAAATTTCATCCTTTGAGACCCGTCTAGGAGTATTCTAATCATCAACTCATGGACTATACATTTTCATATGTTCCCGAAAATCAGCCCGTTAAAGGGCACAAATTGTTATCTTTGACTAAGCTCGATCTAATTACAGCAGGCAAACTTGTCTACAGTGCAGTTGAGTTATTCCCCCCAGACATAATTCGACCAATCCCACCACAAAATAGCCCAGTTAGAGACTTCATAAAACTCCGCTTGGTCAACCATACGCGGTGCCAGATAAATCAGCAGAACCGCAAACCACAGTAGGACACGAATAGCGGATCATGTACGTTAGCAGATTTCCAGATCAGAGTCGCGTTGCTCGGAGTGCGCTATCAATAAACAATTTTGGCCAGTGACCTAATGACCACTTGCAAGGTGATTTTCGTGTTCGGTCACGTGGGTAAATTAGAGTTGACGGGACAGTTGCAATACAACGTTTTATTATCCACTTGCGCTCATATGAAACTTTGCTAACTAGACTAAATCTAACTTGGTAATGAACCATTTTAACGCATTTGTCTACCTTACTATACAACTCCATTATGTGTTAACTTCAGTCGTATCCTGTTTTTACAACAGGAACACAGTTTTTTCTCCGTCACTTTATGACCAATCGATTTTATTCGTTTGTCTGACATCACTTTCTCTGCTTTAGTTTGGCTAATTGACCTAGCGACTCAAACCAAGCACGCTGGTGACACGAACTTGTGAGGCTGTGTGACTGCGCCCAATTTCACGTGGCTGCTTGACTTATTGTGGCAGAATTATTCACCGAGCTGTGACAGGAATGTTTGCGCATAAGACCAGTGATTCTTCTAACTGTTTTTTTCAACGTCTTAAAGAGGAAACGAGTTTTGACTATAATTTTCCAATAACTGAGAAACAGTTAAGCGAAGAATGTTCGCGCATAAGATCAGTGATTCTTCAAACTGTTTTTTCAACGTCTTCAAGAGGAAACGAGCTTCGACTACAATTTTCCAATAACTGAGAAACAGTTAAGCCGTAGTAACTTCCTCCACGCTTCATCGTTTACTGATCCCGTTATGCCACTTGTTAAGACCAAACTCGTCACGTGAAAATGTTTGAGGTGATTCACATGACGATGCTAACGAGCAGTCGAGTCTCACACGACTAGATCAGTTTAAACCAAGGATTCAAAAATGGGCATTCTCTTTAATGCTCACAAAAGCCAGAGAAATATTACTTCATTTCGAAGGTTGAGTCACGAGAGGTTACGGTGCAACGCAAGGAATGGTCAAACAGCATCCTTTTAGTCAAAGGGTATTCGAAGAGAGAGTAGGTAATAAGGATGTTTTCGTAGGGAGCAACCAATTAGATAAAAACAATCCTACAATTACACAAGGTTTGTGTGATGCAACTCTCTTTTTGTGAGGAGTAAGTAATACCGAATGATGAGTAAAATAGTCTGCTCAACTAAAGTAAAAAAAAGCAAAACGTAGAGAGCTTTGCTCTACGAACTAAATTTCTTGAAGGAATATAATAGTCAAAAGTCTGCTGAATTTTTTTAGAACGTCACCAACAGTTGCACTATTACCACGTCCACTTTGAGGCAGATTCGCTCCGGCTTTCCTAATGTGAGCGATCAGCGGGGGTGTGCGGTCACAAGTTCTAGACAACCCAGCATAGTTAACCTGCTGATTTTATGATGTAATGTGATGCCCGATAGAAATTATGCCTATCAGTGGTTCGGATCTTCATTTAAACTTACAGAGTGGCGGCTGTGGCCTCTGGAAGCAAATTCAAGGAAAACTGTCATTTACAGCTTGGGAAGGATTTTTTGCATTCGAAAAAATGTAAAATGCCCTGCAAAATTCAGCAACCGACGTTCATTTGCATCGCGATTTAGAGGGAAGAAACTGACTAACATTTGGAGCTAACGTTAAAAATAATACTGCAATTGCACAGTCCGTTCAGTACCATTTGGACAAATCGACAAGTGGGACCTGCTATCATAATCGGCTTTGTGTACGGCTCCTACTTTTGAACGTTTTTAACGAACTCCAAGAGATGATCGATTTATTTCTGTACCGCTTATTCAAAATCACATCTACAACCTATATACTTTCGGGGATTTAAGAAATGCAAGTGTGACCTCATCCTTCTTCTTAGCTGATTGTTTATTCTCAATGTAAGATGGTACATACTTCACTACGTACTTCACCTACGGTACGTACTTCACTGAAGTGGGCGAAACTTGGTAGCTTCTGTCATGTCGTTCGCTTTCTGTTTGTGCCACCACAGACCCAAAGCAGTTATTGAGCAACATGCAAGAAGAAAGCACGAGTGCCTAGACCAAAGTGTATACTTCTGTTAAACATAGTTGTGATCGTTCTTTTGTGCGTAGTAACAAAAGTTTGAAATAGGGATCTTGACCTCAGAAGTGATTGTCAACTTACCACAGGAATGACCCGATTCATCGAAAGAACAACAGTTAGGCTAGGAGAATGTGCGGTTGGCACAGGTTTTTTTGACTCGTGAATATACTGTGGTCTAGTTCGGTGATGAGATATAAGATTGTGCATGAATTACTGATGTCTAGATCAAAGCGATGGTTGGCGTGTGCGGAAATCGGTCAAGCAGCAGGGAGGGGGTGTTGTCCGGCGCACAGAATGTTTTATCTGCAAACTTGAACCCGTGGTATGGGAAAGAGGTAAAGTTGTTGTGGTGTGTAACAAATCAAATGTTCACTTGTTCAATGCAATTTATAGCCGCTCTTTATTTCTGCACCAGTATTTGTTTCAGAGTTCTGTACATGCTAACTGGTGGGTTGACATCGGAACTGGCATACTGTGTCCCACTGTCTAGCTTAGCCACTCTTGTCGCACCGATCGTCACGGGATCGGTTTGAGTTGCACGGTCATCTAAATTGGCGCCGAGTAGATTTATTTGTACAGCTCGATGACGCTGAGCACCTTTGGGTGGAGGAAGGGCCTTGATCAACTCCGGTCCGGTTTGAACGTAAGTCGTAACCCTCTTTGAAGATTCGGCCAGGAGTTCTGCGGCCAGTTCTTTCTGTGTCACAATCCGACCCAGATCTAAACTCCCTGGTTGAAACTTTCCAAGTCGAGATCTCCAGTAGTTTGCACGACCATGATCTGTCGAATCGATGCTGTCCGAGTTGCTTGGGGGTGAGGAAGATTGACTGGAGACCAGACCACTGTCTCCGTTAGACAACACGTGGCTCTCAGCTGCTTTGAGATGCAGCAAAAAGGGCTGCCTGGCCATTTCCTTATTTAGAGGCTCAGAAGCTAGCCTGAGGCAGTGATTGACGCGATCCAACATCGGTCCTGCCTCGGTTAAAGCCTCAATAGGATCCATTAGGTCCAGGCGGCTTGTGATACGATCATCATTGAGGAAGTCGTACCACTCATTCGCTGCGTTATTAAGGCGCTTGCATTCAGACGCCAGAACTTCCAACGGGATTCCTGCCACTTTATCAACTTTGGCCTTTAACGCGGATTGTTGTCTGTGGAGTTGATCCATGCAGGCCTTCACGCCTGCGTCAATCGCAGCGTAGAGACATCGCATCTCACTTTCACATACTTGAAGGCTGTTGAGCAGCGATTCAATCTGCTGAATGTGAGCCTGTGTGGCTGCACTCTCACGGCTCAGCTGTTCCTGGTAAGCGGTCACAGCTTCTCGTATCGACATGATATCATGATTAGCATGTCCAGTAGATTTATCTGGGTCTTTTTCAGCTTCGACACTTGTCTCAAACGTGCAGACAATACATATGTACATGCGACACGTCACGCAAAAGAAACGTCTGAGTTCACGTGGATGTCGACTACACTGAAGGTCTTCCATTTGTTCGGCGCGAATGAGAACGTGAGCTGCGGTTACTGCCATTTTCGAATGAGTTTCGCGACAGGCTACGCACAGTCGTTTGGCGCATTCCAGACACGCCGCGCTAGCAGGTTGGGGGCCATTGATGGTAGTTGATTTACTATACCCACTGGGTACGGTTCTTCGTCTGGGCCGCCTTATATTGTTGCATGAGTCATTTGGTCGCTGACGTGAACTACGATTCCCTAACTGTGAGGTACGAGAAGATGATCCATTGAAACTTGACATATCCTCATATTCACCGGAGTCACTGTCATCACTATCCGCAAAACGTTCTCCGTTTTTGTAAGAGTTTTGTTTTGAGGTGGGTGTCGGTGGGCTTCCAGCCTCTTCTGATAGCAACAATTGTTTTGTGCACACATCACACACAGGAAACGTTGGCATCCTGTCCACCATGGACGCCAGTCTGTCAGCCAGCTGGTCAGTAGGCAATTCAACCACTCCTCCTGCAGGGATAGCAGTTTCCTTCTCACACACTGGACACGAAATCTGCTTGACTCTTGTACTGTTAAATGTGTAGCGAGATGGTCCATAGTTTGTCGAATCATAATCACCGTATCGAAATTTCGAAGACCATTTCTTCCGATAGCTACTTCGATAGTCGTTGGATGATAAATTTGTCGAAGTGTAGTATCGTTTTGCTGATTCCAATTCCTTTGCCTCGTTCTCCGCCTCCTTTTGGGCAACTAACTTTTCGAGGCACGACTGGCAAAATGTGTGTAGGCATACCAAAACTTTTGGCTTCTGGTACGGCTGGTGGCACTGCTTGCAAGTCAAAAAGTTCGCCTCGAGGCTCCGCCGAATTTCCATAACATAGGGAAAAACGAACGTGATAAACGACTCCACAGCTATCGTTATTCCTTGATACAACGATTAGGATAGCTATATTTGGGGTAATCGAACCCGGAACGAAAGTCAAAATGTCACACTAGTGTCGTTCATTCAGGCTTCGCACATAAGCATGGTTTTGATGCTGCCTGAATTCGGAAAACACAGTACCAAAGGTCTTTAACTGAAGTGGGACTTTTCCTTCTATCCTTTTGATTGGGTCAAAAACCTCCCACGCCACGAATCAGCTGTTTAAAACTCTGGTTAAGCAACACTCTCTCGGCACTCCTGCACACGCACACCAGGCAATGTGCAGACAGGCACGCAAACCGGGTTGCACTTTCATTCTGTTAATAAGTGCAGAGGAACTGATGACCAAATGTGGTTGGTTTGCACGCCCTGTGGGCGTAGCTTTTCGATACCCTGATGCACGCGTTTACCAGTTTGCCTGTCGGGCTGATTGTGTCACACATCGGACCTTAGTCAGGTTGGTCCTGTAAGTTTTCAGAAGCATAAAGTACGGAATCGAGCGCATGAAACGCTGACAAAAAACAGCGTGCGTAATAGCAACGAATGTTATGCAGATTTTTCCAGAGTAGTTCTCAGTGGGTTTCAAGCGTTAGTGACGCTACCTGACTGGGAAGCCTGACTGGCGGGTCAATCGATCGTCACAACCAGAACAGTTATTGGGTCGTCATTCGATGGGTCGGACACACCAGGCACATCGCTCAAGCGTGAACACGTTCACCTGTTCAGACGTGAAAATTAAGAAGCGTCCAACATGCGTTAATGGAGTAGTGGCAGCGCGCTGGTCTCGTATGTCAGATGTCCGGGGTTCAGATCCCAGCAAGGCCACTGAATATGTACCGATGATGAGCTCTAATAAGGGCGACACTTGAGTCCATTGCTTCCCTACGGTGTGGACTCACCAGAATAACTACGCCAGAACAGGAGGACGGATGTTCAAACGAGCGTGATGTGAATATGAACAAAATACACAAAACCTCATCACTGAAATTCCAAAATAGTTGGACACATGACTGGTGGGGTTTCAGTAGTTCTTATTCTGTGATTTTCCCTTGAAGGAATCTCGTTTGAAAATTTCTGGGCATCACACATATGGTTAGTTCGCATTAGTGGAAAGAACACGCACTCCAACCAACATCGGGATGTTTTGGCTTCCCAGCGTTATTCTTTACTAAACTGTTGGACGTTTTAACATGTTCGCGTAAGCTTCCGGACATAGATGTGACTGGGAGAGCCACATTCTGTTCTTATTTCAAGGGTATGAACGATTGCTTTGGTAACATCCGCCTCGTCATACTCATTTGCGGCAGAAAGGTAAACAATGATGAAAATTCAGAATCGGCCAGGCTATAGGAAGCCGGAGAATACCTCAGAAGTAGATTATATTAGGCTTTGAAGGTAAGGTGAATACCACAATGAGGTGTACCAACGTACTCAAGACGGACTGCTTAAACGAACGAAACAAGGGAAGGGTCTTCTGCATCATACTGTTTGAGAAAACACCAGGCTCAATATCCTGTTAACTGTAAGTCAGACTTTCGCGCAGAGTTCCTCCCAACTATCACCAAGATGATCCTTCTGGTACACTCGTATACCATATATAAGGTGGCTTGCTTTTTTTCGCTTCTTTTATTCACCCTGAGGGCTTAAAAATTGATACTTCTGAGTCTCGATTGTTACACTGAACTTTCTGGTCACTTCAACTACAACTCGTTCAAAACCAGTGATGAAATCCATCAATAAATCAACAGATAAACCGTCTGTTTTAACCCATTATCTGAGTCTGTTTTGCGTTATAGTCCTGGCGATCGCCGCCACCTAATTTGTTAGTGTACCTTAACGGAGCAGACACAATGTTCCTTCAAAAGCCGAAGGAATTGATAATGGTTTATAGGAATTCCCTCTTTTTTCGGGAGTGAATGATGGCCGTGAATGATGGCCTAGACACTGTAGGCACAAATCATTGAACAATAAAAAGTTAAAAACTATTCTAATTAACTATAATGGGACAGTTATTCGCGATTCGCAAACAAACAGTCCACTACCGGTTTCATCCTGCCCATTATTGATTACTAGGGGACTCCATAGAGGCTCCAGATGCAACACTTTCATCGTACGCAAAAGACTGTTGCTCAGGTCAGAGACTGCCCGTTTTAGCTTCTCTGGACTACGTCCACCTGATGATCCCCAAACAAGCCCAAGCTAGTAGTGGAGTGTCCATGGATTTTCAGCCATCTTCCCATACTACTCAATTAAAAAAGAATATTTATTGAATAGCTTTGCAATAAAACCTCGTGGTAGCCTGTGTGCTGCGCAGTCTGTGCCATTGACCACGAGGGGCATCATCGAGTCTTCATCTCGAGCGATTTCATCACGCATATGAGCTTGGAAGATATCAATTGCTTTGTGAATTTTTTCCCATCGCACACACTGGTGGGTGACAAACGCTGGAGTTGGCTTTTTGGATCCTCGAGCTACATGAACGATTTTCACTCACGTTCAACAAAAAAGTCATAATAAGAGCCGGGTAAGCGTCTTGGGGTAATTTTATGACATATCAACTGAACTTAACCCGCGCTTCAATTATATTTCAGTTCCACACTTGCTGTCCCAATGCCAACTGAGCACCAAAGGTTTTCTTGCATGACAGATAGCACATTGGCATATGCTTTTATCCTTCCGATAAACAACTTGAAGCCACATAAATGCTCCAGAGCGAACTGAACTTCTATGTTTTTTCATCTTTCTTGACTGTTCGATTTCTTTCCATGGCCAGGCATGGTTGTGCAAATTACAGAACAATCAATGACGGAAAGCCTCCACTGAAATTTGGCGGACAAATTATTCATCAGTGGCCTAACACAATTCAAAAAGAGAGGAACTCGCTTTTATTGGTACAAATTAGCTCAGTCTGGCTCTATTTGAAGCAACGGACCCCATTGGCAGTGAGTATGAGTACTGTGGCACTGCGGATATCAACTCAGTTGACGACCAACGGCAGGACTGCTGAACAGGAAATGTACATGCAGCTCCCAAGCCTCAACACAATTCATTCGTCCACACATGAACTTGATCAAACAGATTAGTGTACAGAAATCTGATTGTTTCAATGTTAGCGCCAACTGACAGACAGTCTCTTCTGTATGGAATTTTGATCGTTTCGCCGTGGTGAAAGTTGTCCGGGGTGACCAAAACCTTGAGCAATGAAACATCGCTCAAAAATGTCATGATCTTTCGTGCATACTGCACTGTAACTCCCATTGTAAGTTGACCTTAATACTATTACTAGTGTTTCATTATATAACATGTATAATGTGCTGTTGGCTAAAGCGCATCCAACAGACATACTATGAATAATAAAATTTCTGCCGAAAAAGAGCCCCAAAGGCGAACTGTAGGATAGAACATTTGGTTAAATCGATAGTCTATGAGTGATAACTTCGTTTAGGCAAGTTTTGCAGATTCGACCCAGCTAATAATAGGCTGAGGTACCATCAGTAGAAACCGCATAATAGAGAAAAGGAAACTTATTAGGTCGTGAGCTCCAGGCGATGGAGGCAATCAAAAGCTCGTCAGCTATGGAAAAGCAGTCCAGTATGCGTTTTGTTCCAAGTGGACTTGATTGCGGTGTGATTTAATGTTCACACTTCTGGACGTTACAGGGTTTGCTAGTGCCACGCCCATCGAATGAATTAGAAGCAGGACAAAAATGTGGTGGATTGTTCTTCTGTGGCCAATTTTTGTTTTGATAAGGAATTTATCCGCGATACCCTACTTCATCTTGGGGCGAGATCGCCCAGTGGTTAGAGCGCAGACTTACCTACCGGAAAGACCGTGATTCGAACCCGACCTCTGCTTCTCGACTTCTCCTGTCTAGGCTTGAGCAACCTGGCAGCCCTCGGGCTTCCTTCGGGTGGCATGAAAGCTAGACACCTGAAGGGTGTTACAGCTGGACGATTTCATCATTTCACTCCCTTTTGGCCACCGCTCTGGATTCGGATACAGAACTACTAAAACCGTTTGCTTTTCAACCCCTGTATTGCCAAACATGGTAGGCTGTCGGTCGCGGAGGCAAGTAGTAGGGTTAGCAAAACTATAGACGCATCTAATTAAGATTACTATAAGATGAACTTATTTGGAAAACCATACACCAGAGATTTGAATTCCCAGATATCATTGGATACTCTGATGGATTACTTTTATCAATGAAATAATTTTAAACAGATTATTCAGTCTGGTAATTTGTTGTTTGTTAGATAATCTTGATATTGACGATAATTAAACAAAGGTTCGTCTCTACGGGTTCTTTTCTATTTTGTTTTCTATTCGTCATTAATATTTCCCGGTCGATTCGGCTCTTTTTATTGCTACAGAGATGGCAGTAGTTGCTGAGTTGTAGGAAACAATGTGGTTGACTGTCTCTCTGTAGGGTTGTGACACCGTGACACCTATCACAGCTTCCCAGGCTGGTAGCTCCATGGATTTTCGAAACAAGCTGGATAATTCTTGACTAACTGTAGACATTGGCAAACCAATTACAATGCTCAAAGGTGAACACCACTACCTATTCAGACGTGATGATTTTGTTGCGTCTAGTATGCGCTAGTGTCTTAGTGTCAAAACGATCGCGTCGCATATCAGCGGTTTGGAGTTCAAACGCCGACAATTCGTTGCTGATGAGCTCTAATAAGAATGAAACTCGAATCCATTGTTCCCCTCGTTGGCTTATGCCTACCATGGAAATTGATTCAAAACAGAAGGGCAGTTGTTAAACTAAGTAATGTGAACACAACTTTTATAAATGTCTCAACGGCCTACAACCAATCGGGAACGGTCACGCAGTCAATCGGAAGCCACTGATTCCCGAGGTAAACTGGGAGTCCACCTTGTTGCGGAATTCTTCAGAAATCATCCAGGGTGCCCAACTCGTTCTAAGCAAAATGTGAGACAATTTGATGAAAACTCTTCAATGGCCAACCACCTGTTTCGCCCTTTTTTAGACTCATCAAGTGAGT